CTGGGTCCCGGGCGCGCTCCACCCGCGGGGCACGCCCCTTTCCCCCAGGGCCAATGAGAAGCAGGCCGGGAACATTGGTTTTTATGAATGGGCCCCGCGCCCACCCACCTGCTGCCTGGTCTCCCCGCAAAGGGTCAGAGCTCAGAGGCCGCCAGCACCTTCAGACACCTATCCCACTAATCGTCTTACTCTGGCTCATTTCGTAAAATCTTTGAGTAAACTGCCCCACGCTTTGTTACGTAATTCTCAGATGAGGGATCTCCATATATTCGACACAAATCACAGGTCAACGTTGTTCTTTCTGTACGGAAATTCGTAAATACGGTACTCCACAGGTGGTCGCTCTTTAAACAGTTACAAAAATAAATGTGGCCTTTATTACCAATTAATAAAATAAACATAATTAACCCCGGCATAAGGAAGCATGATGAAGTGATTAAATGAAAAAACTTACGTTACATTCTCTAGGGAAAGATCGGGTTTCAAGCATTACAGTGCCTGGCATCGTAAGTGTTCAAAAACAGAAATCCAAATACATTTTAAGCAGAATTAGGAATTAGCAGAACAAGGAAATCGCCCTGCTAATGTGCGGGTCAAGAGAGCCTAGGAGTTCATTGGTCAAATGAGGGCTTCTGGTGAAAGAATAGAGAAGGGAAAAGGAGTAAAGATAGAAGAGTGGCCCCTTGAGGGTTTTTTTTGTTTTTTTAGTACCTGACTGAAAGAGACTAGCAAACAACTCCTGAAAATCTGTAATTGTAATCTTCATTTCTTACACAGTAAGAAATGAAGCCGTGAAATAAAAAGCTTCCATTTTATTTTCCTTTAGGAGCCATGGAGCATATTGGCAATTTGGTTCTGACTCCTAAAATCATTTTACTATACCTTTACACTGCCTACATTGGAGACTGCAAGCAGTGGAAAAGAATAGATACTCCAGATCCTGTCGATAAACCCAGGCTCCTCCTAAATCAGCCAGATTCAGAGAAAAACGAGCTGGCCTGCCTTATTTTATTCCTTGCCATCAAGGTTCAATGTGGTTCTATTACCCAGTAAAGTCACTGACCAAACAAGGTATTTTCACAAAGCTAACCTTTTTTAAAAGCATGTAAGAATTATACATTTGTACATATACACATTACACTTTTACATCCAAAGATCAAATAGTTAACAGTTCATTTAGGGCTGTTTGTATTGTTTGATTTTCCAGATTCTGTCACTCCCTTGGCTTTGACCTAACCTGACATCATTCTGTCACATTATCTTTTTTTTTTAA